CTAAATGCAGGCACGAAAATAAGTTTCTCCTAAAAAACTATAAAAATAAGTGAGCTCAAATAATAGTTACATTAACTCCCCTTTGAAAAAAAATATATTATTTTTTAAAAAAGCTTAAGTAATCGTTTCTAAAGAATTCTTTTTACAATAGTGTCAGCAAATTACACAAATGTGTGAAAAATTGCAGTAGTTAAGACATGTGACTTCCTAAAATTTAATTTTTGGTATAAATTGAAGTTTTATTAGTTTGATCATTCATTTCTGATGACTGTTTATTAATGAAACACAGTGTTAAATGAGAAAAAATTTTGCAAAGTGATTTTCTACTAACTTTTGCTAAAGTTTTGCACAAAAGTTTTTGAGATTTATTTAAATGTATTTAATATAATTTAGAAAACAAAACCTAGGTAATATATTTTATAGCCCAGTTTTTGAAACAGTAAATAATTTACAATCATTTCAACAAAATTAATGTAAATATTTGCTGCTACGACTTATGTCAGCCTGTTTATTCAGCCTATGAACATTTTAGATTGGTTCCCAGACAACAAGTATATACTGGTCTGATAATGGCTAGCCAACGCTAGTGATTCTTTAAAGGCCCGATAAAGTTCCCTTCTTGTGTTGCCAGTTCTGGGAAGCCGTAACAGGGCCATTGCCAGCCTTTATAAAATTGTCTGAGCTGAGTAGCCGCAAAAAAATCATTAATGGTCCAAAAAGAGTTTGCTGAAGCAGAAAAACAGACATTGGGCCGATAAAGGTCAATCACTGGTAAAATCAAATTAAAAATGATATAAACAAAAGCATTCGCGTACAATTTCGCATCCATCATGATGTTCCTTTTTTTTCATTTTTCATACAAATATATCTTAAAACGTTTTTGTTTAAAAAAATACTTTCAGGTGATACGTACGTAATAGTTTCTGAATAAGTTTTAAAAACTTATATTTAAAAATAGAAATTTATATTTTTTAAATAATTTTAAAATAAGTCATTGCAATTAACTCTTTTGTTAAATAAATAAAGTTTTGTATGGGATGTGTTGTTACACGACAAATAACATAATGATCATGATATATTAACATTGTTTACAACAAACATTACCAATGTATTGGTTTAATGTTTAAATTTTTTTTCAACAAGCTAAAACTGGTTTATAAAATTTAAAACTAAAAATTTTTAAATTGCATTGGCCTACTCTATAGGGCAAAACTTTTTTTGATTTCAAGTTGTTTAAAATTCTTATATTTTTCTTTTATTCATTCCTAATTTAATTACGCTAATATTGCATGGTGTAGTACCAATAATTATAAATCGAAGAAACTCTTTAATATGCAAAAACATGCAATCAGAATTATATCTAATAAAAACCACAGTACACCCTCCCAACCTTCAAAAAACCTTTAAAAAAAATGTACCACAAAACTATTTCTAAAAAGCAAAATATCTTTTTGATTGATCTATCAATTAAATGAGGAGTATACTAATATTAGAAAGGCTTGAGTTGAATGCACTTTTGACTTAATTTACAAATTTATTTATGTTTTTGTTGTTTTAATATGCGTTGTTACCCCTTTTTATTTTTTATTTTTTACTCCTTAATAATATGTTTCATTTATCACTTTACCAATTTTACGTTTGTTTATTTTATATTGTCAACGGAAATGCTTATTTTTAAATTAAACTACTTGATATTTTACCTTTAATATATTATATATGATTTCTACATGTTCCATTTTCGTCGAGTAGTACTCCTAGAAATTTTAATGATACCTCTCTTTTTATTTTGCTATTGTTAATACAAAGATTTAGAAGTTTTAATGCAATTTTGTCTCGTTCATGATAGCGATGAAAAAAAGTATATTTTGTCTTAATTAAATTTAGAGATAATTGTTTGCTTTAAACCATTCGGCAAGGTATAGTAGTTCTGTGTTTACAGTTTTAAATAATATTTTTATATCATTGTGAGCATAAAATAGATTAGTATCATCTGCAAACAAGATTGTGTCTAATACATTACAAGATTTGCTTATAAAATAACAAAAAAGAAAAGGCATCAAATCTATATAATGGTGTTTTATTATCACAGTATCACAGTAGCTGATCATATAGAGCATGCATAATAAAACAAATTATATAAAAGTAAATGCTACATACTAAAACAAATATCTGGTTAATAGCACCAATTTTTGGCAATTCTGTATAACTTTTAATAAAAGCTTCTTAAAAATGAAATTATAGAAAAAAATGACTTTGGAAGTTTGACATTAGGGCAAATCAAACATTTCCTGAATTTATTAGATAAAAGAAATAAAACATTAATAGTACATCATTATTTAAACCTCACTTTGAATATTGAACCCCATTAAAGAGTTTACATAAACGGAAACATGTTATTAAGATTGAACAACTCCAACATAGAGCAATTCGTGTTTATAGTTTAGTGTCAACAAAAATGCCTATTTTTAAATTACAGTTTGTATATATTATCACATCAAAAAAAAAAAAAATCAAAAACCTAAAATAAAATAATTTTGATTATTAGGTTTAATAGTATTTGATTTTTTGCTTTTAAAGTTTGTTTGTGATAATTATTGTGCGGCCACATAAATGAAGCAAATATTAATGAAGTTATGGCAATAATCGTAATATTGACACAAAAACGCCGAATCTCAAGTTAAATGGTTCATCTAAATCTGGTAAGTTTTCTTTTTTTTTTCTTTTTTTTTAAGTTGATTTAGGTGCTCTAAGAAGTCGTTACGGTCTTATCTTAGAGCACCGCGGAAGAGCATTTAATAGGAAGTTCACGCCTCCTTCCCAACTGATGTCACAAAACGTGCTCAGAGGTGGGTTTTAAACCACGGATCTTACGTTTCTGGGGCAATCACTTAATCAAATACGTTATTAAATTTCTTGTTTTCAGTGTTTATGTGAAGGAAAAGTTTTTTTACTTATTTTTACTATACTAATGACTAGACTTACTGTGTTTTACAAAATATTTTCTGTAAATAAAAACTTTTAGGAAGATTGAAAGGCTTTTTAGTCCTAATTTTTAAATTCTTTATTTATTTTTTGTTTGTTCAAAATAACTTTTACAATAAAAGAATGAATAACATACATACAATAAGAATTACAAATTTTGTTGATTTTAAGAACGCAGATACTTGCAGAAGTTCATAAGATTTTGTCATCGAAAACCGCCTAAACAGATTTTTAATAAAAAAACGTTTAAGATGCTTTAAATTGTTATTGTACTGTGACAACATTTTAAAATTATCTATTTATAATAAAATGATAAATTGCGTGTCATATACTTTATTTAGAAATTGCTGTGAATTAAATTAAGTATCATGTAAAATCTCAAGAAATTAAATTTTTAATGAAGTTTTTGTCCAAAATAATACAAGTGTAGATATTTTAATATATATGTTTGTAAGTATCCTGCATTTGGTTGTAATTGTAAATTTTTATTGTGATATTCATTACATTTTAGTTCACAAAGTTATAAAAAGATCGTTAATTTAAGTCTATGTAACTATAGTTTGTTGTTTATGGGCTGAACCTTTTTGTCAATAAAAATAATTGTTATTGTAACATGATAACAATGTTGTTTATTAGTTGTGACCATGTTGTATATACGTTCCCAGACAGCAAGTATATACTGGTCCTATAATGGCTAGCCAATGCCAGCGAATTCTTTAAAGACCCGATAAAGTTCCGTACTTGTATTACCAGTTCTGGGAAGTCGAAACAGGGCTATTGCCGAGTCTTTATAAAATTGCCTGAACTTTGTAGCCGCAAAAAAGCCGTTAATGGTCCAACGAATATTTGCCGAAGCAGAACAACAGACATTGAGCCGATACTGGCCCATCAGTGGCAAAATCAAATTAATAATGAGCATTTGCGTTTACTGCGCAGATTTTTGCATCCATCTTAAAAGTCATTGTTTTCACTTTTCATACAAATATATTTTAAAACTTTATTGTTAAAAAAAAAATACTTTCAGGTGATTCTATATTGCGTATATATTAATTTCTAAATCAATATTAAAAATTAATATTATTATAATAAAATTTATGTTTTTTAAATAATTTCTAAATAAACTATTGCAATTAATTCTTTTGTTAAATAAATAAAGTTTCATTGTATTAGTTATTAAATAAATAAAGTTTCGTATCTAATAATTTCAAAATGTGTTTGATTTGCCCTATTATCAAACTTCCAAAGTCAATTATTCTCTAAAACTTAATTTTTAAAACGCTTTTAATAAAGGTTATAAAGAACTGCCAATAATGATGCTATTGAGCTGATTTTTGTATTAGTATGTGGCGTTTATTTTTATATATTTTGTTTTAGTATGTATGCTCCATACTAAAACAAAATATATAAAAATAAATGCTACATACTAAAACAAAAACAAAAAAAATTTAAAAAAATCATAAAACAAGAAGAAAAAAATTTCACTTTAAGCAAAATATTTTAAAAATATTGAAAATATTTTTAAAATAGATCGCCGAGTTTTATACAACTTTAATGATGTAAGTAGGAAAACATATAATAAATGTACGTATAATAAATGTACAGCAAAATTTTTTCTGTGTGCTCAATAGTTCAGTTTTATTTATGATTTTCTATGGTTTTCAACTTAATAGTACTAAATAAATTGACAAATAAGTTAGGTTTTCATATTAAAATATGGTTATTTTTTTGAGAAAAGCTGTCGTAAACTTTTGCTCGAGACATTTTGAAACAGACTTAACGTTGGTTTATTGAAGTAACAAATTACTAATAAATAAATTTTTCTCGAAATATTTTTTTTTAATTTAAATAATACAACAATAGACTAAAAAAACTTAAAATAGTGAATACTTTAACTTTGAAAATGAAATTTTTGTTAACAGTTTTTGATTAACAACTGACAATAAAATATTACTTCCACGTTTAAAAGCAATATACATAGACTAAACAATGACAAAACAGTAATAAAATCTAAAAATTACCTAAATTAAACCAAAGAAGATAGAAGATCCTCCTGTTTCTTTTTAATACTAAAATATGAATAGAAAAACAAACTCGTAAAATCTTTTTTAAACACTCAAAGTTAAAAGCGTGCGCCTTCACTTTTTAAAAAATGAAATAATACCCGCAATTATTTTGCAATGTGGTTTTCATTGCTTTTATTCAAAGTATCATGTTTCTTCATATTTTATATTGCAAATTTTTTACCTTTTATGGTGTAAATGCTCATCTTTGTTTTTTCAAAAATCAAACACACTTATTTTTTCAATAGAATATAAACATCTAAGTACACTAAATTTTGATTGACATTTTGATTTTTTGTGAAAAAACTTGGTTTTGAATCCTTGTATAAAAACGTGACAATAATATATGTCTTGAACCGCGCCATAAGCAAATATAAAATAATATGTGAATAATACTCCTGCGCATGTTGCTTTGGTTTTAACATTATAAGTAAATGTAGCAATATAAAATTAAACATTTCTGTTATATACCTGGCTGTTACGTTCGCTATATATTCCAACACTTTGTTTCCGACATAATTAGCTTAAAATCTTAATATATTCTGTACCACGACACTATTTTTTTAATGAACATTTCGTCAATATGCACGCTTTTGTTTTCCTTAAGATCTAATAAACATCTAACAAAAATCTAAATGTTATCCTTAAGATCTAATAAACATGTAACAAATATCTGGCTCAAGCAAGAAGAAGACAAACTGGTTTATCAGTAATCCTCTTTTTGAAAAAAAGCAAAATATAACCTAACAAGTTTTAATACTATGAATAAAAATAAACTGAAAAGTTAAAAAAAAATGAAATAGTTTGTGAAAAGTAAATTATAAAGCTGGCAAAAAAGAAAAAAATCTTTAAAATTAAAGCTTACAAATTGGTAAATCCCAGCAGGCACATTACGTTATGCTAAGATTGTATTTATGTTAAAATTGCGTTTTACGTTACTTAATGTTTATTCAACGTTGCGTCAACGTTGAAAACACATCGTTGAAAAAAACATAGAAATATTAACCTATTATTCTAACGTTGAGCTAACATACGGACAACGTAAAAAAATAAAAAAATAATAGCGTAATTCTGCCAACCATAAAAAAATCTTCAGTAAATAATAATTTTTTTTTTTCAAAAAAGGTTCCGTATGAGAAGATTGAAAATAAGTTTAGTTAAAGATAATTAGCTAATAATGAAGGTTGGCTTGTCTTTTAAAAAATTTTCAAGGAATTTTCAAAAATTGTTTGAAAATAAAAAGCGTGCAATTATTTAAAACTTTTATTTACTATAAAATATAAAAGATTTAATAAATGTTTGATGAAAAAAGTTTATGTTAAAAAAATAAATATATTATTAGTTACTCTCTAAATTTTACCCTGCTTATTGAATAAATATATAACAGTAAGTAATGTATTTCTGAATAAATATTTTATAGCAGTGTTTACGTACAGTTATTTTTGGATTAACCATAAATACTAATCTCGATACCATTTAAATGTGTTCAAATTTTAGTTTTTTGATTTTTGATAATACAAATATGATATATGTTGCTCAGATGCTTTATTGCTTAGACACAGTGATGTGTCAGAATAAAGTTTATCAGTGATGGAGTGAAACATTTGTATTAGGGTAATCATTATTATAACTTTTCTTATCTTAATCACATTTTAGGCTTTAAAGAGTTGTGCAGCTATTTTATATTAAATTTAAATAAATTTAACATAAAATAGCTAAATAAGTTTAATTTTTTTAATAATGAGAAGTAGTAATCTGTCAAATATTTTACTTTAGATGCTAGGAAATTTATTTTTTTTGCATTTAAAGTAAAACTTTTTGTTTGTAATTTCAAATTACAAACGAGTATCAAGTCGGTTAGAGCCTAATGCTCATGCAGTTAAAGCTGCTATGGCAACCCGTTTGAATGTTATAGTTACTCACTCTATGAAATATAGGAAAATACTTTAAATCTAATTAATTGCGGAAAATGAGTTTTAATAAACTGGTCACTTTGCTTATATTTCGACAAACAACGTAAGTATATTATTAATTTGAAACCAGAAGGGTAATTTTATAAATATCTTCACCAAGCATCTGCTATGCATTTGGTGTTAAAAAAATGTAAAATTATAAAGTAAGTAAAATAAAATGTATTTTAAAATTTTCATTTATAGAAAGCATGGAGAGTCTTTAACAAAAGCTCAAATAAATGATCATATTGCAAATATTGAAAGGCCACTCCATTTGTAAATAAATGTCAAGCAATATGTGTAGAGAATGGAAGCAATTGTTAAGCAGTTATATTTGTTATCGTTTAGTTTCTTTTTGTATATTTATAGTATATACTATACCTGTAATCTTCATGTATATTCACATTTTTAGTACTTATTTGTATATTTATTTGTTTTCAACATAATCTATATAACTTAATAGTTTAGCGTTAAACTAATGAACTAAAATATGATGAATGAATGAACTGAAAAATGATGATTGAATAACTGAAAAATAATGAACTAAAAACTAATGAACTAAAAAATAAAAAAAAAATACAATTGAAATTATTTTGCAAACTAAAGTTTAACGTTAACACTTAGTTGTTGAAAAACTTGATCTACCTATTTTATATATTCAGATTTTATTTTAAGCTAGTTTTTATTTTAGCCTAAAGAACCATAGCTAATAAAGCCAATTAAATGCTCTTACTATCTTTCCAAAAAATGTTTGAGGGTTAGGGTCAGGGTAACCTTTTAATGAAAGCAATCTGCCTTTGAGGTGAGTCTTTAGCAGTTCTTGTTGTTTTAATGCTAATATTTAACTTTCTTTCTGTTTTTGTTTTAATAAGTTGTCATAAATTTTTTGTTTTGATCCTCAGTCAATTTTTTTGTTTTAAAATCATCTTTTCCGATAAAATTTGAATTTTTGCTGCGAACCCAATTGAAAGCTAACTTACATTTGACCCTAAACTTTGCCCCATAGTCACTCAATTGTCATTTCGCTCAACACATTCAGCAACTCTTCTTCTGTCATTAGACGAAGATAAAACCTTTCAACTTATTTGTTTGTATTTATTTCATGCCGACAAATAGGACACGTTGGTTTTGTTTGCACAATCACCTCCTATTACTTTAATGTGCACAATCACCTCTTATTACTTTAATTTTTGCCGCTTTTTATTTTTTTGCCGGAGTACCGATTCTTTCTAAATACTGTATTCATTGTTCCACAACCCCAGCACCGAATACAGATGGTTAACGAGTCGCATTTTAAACGTTACTTTAGACTAAATTTTTTCCATCGGGTTTAGCATTGGTCTGTAGGGTCCTAAACGTTAAAACGGAGCTGGAAAATTTTTAACACTTTACTTAAACAAGCGTGACATGGAGCATTGTCTGTTACAATAGGAGCTTGCATTGTAAATTCCTATTTACAAATTGTGAATTCCCATTTACATATTATGATTTCTTATTTACATGTTGTGTTTCTCTATTACATATTACGATTTCTTAATTATATGTTGTGTTTCTTAATTACATATCAGACCTGTAGCAAGCAGGGGGGGAGCAGGGGCATTTTCCTCCCCCCTCCCCCCTCAAATAATTTTTCAAATAAAAAAATTTGAAAAAATTGATTGAAAATTAAAAAACTATTTTGGGGCCCTTAATCCAGCGCTGCCCCCAAATATAATCTTTGTTACTACGGGCCTGCATATTAAGATATCAAAATTGTATGTTGTGTTTCTCAATTACATATTTCAATTTCTTAATTACAACTTTCATGTTTTTAATTATATCTTGAAAAAGGTGTAGTTAAAAACAAATTTTTGACCTCAAAGTTTTTATCGAAAAAATTTGACTGATTTTAGAGAATTTATCGAAAAACTTGAGTTAGCGAGTTTAGTGTTTACATACTTCACAAGTGCCGTCCGACTTGAAATTGTTTATGACTTTCTATTGTACTATGAACAAAAACATTCACGCATGGTTTTAGAAATTTCAAGCCTCGCACATCTATCTCTCATTCTTCCATGGTTTGATAAAACTGCTCTTTTGATTATTGTCGATCTTATTGATCTATAGCAATGCACTAAACATTTATCTATACGTCCTAGGTTCGAGGTTTAATTATTTTGTTGATAACAAGTAAAACTTAATTAACTGGTCTTAATAAGGTTGGGGTGGGTGGTAAAATATTTTGAAAAATTCTAGACATCTTCTCCCGTGTATTAATACACGGGAGAAGATGTTTAAAATTTTTTTAATATATTAAACATATAAGAGTAGTCGGTTTTCAACTATCTAAAACTGCTAGAACATTTAGTAATAAGATAAATATAGAATTGTTAACTTTTTGGGAAAGTATAAAAATATATAACGTTAATTTAAACTTACAGTTATAGGTTTAGATGGCACTGTTGGCGTGATATTGGATTGAGGACTTGTCATTTTTATATTGTTATTTGGTAACAACGGAAACAACATCAAAGATGACTGTGGTGTAACTAAATATTATATAAAATTTAAATAATAAAATGTTCCAAACTAATATTTAAAAATTCAAGATTTTAAGATATAAAAGACAAAAGCTGACCAGTAGCTATAGAGCAGGGTTTTACAAATATAGAATTTAAAAAAAAAATGATCACCTCGTTCATTAACCCCCTTTATAAATTTTGTTTTTTCTTTGATTTGCATCATTGAAAGTTTTTCTTCAAAAAAATTTCAATGATGAAATTTTTTTGAAGAAAAACTTCTACCAGCATATCAATGTTCTAAACACAGCAAAACTCTGAAATGCAAACACTTAAAATAAAAATATACAAAGTTGCAATTTTTAAAATAAAAATATTTGCACATTTGTTATTTTAATAACAAACCTTTCCTGAACTTTGGCACGCAGAACAGTTTTTAAAGATTAACTTAATTTCGTTTATGCATTCTTTGGCACAATTATAATCATTATGCTTTTTCATAATAGAATCAAAATCCATAGGTCGTTTAATGATTTTATAATAATTCTATTAAAAACAATATAAACATATTTTTAAAAAAGTAATACACATATATGGCATATATAAATAGTTAAATACAGATAAAACACATATGTATAGGGTTGAGAAAGCACAAATCACATTTTATGTGATGATATAAAGGACCCCTAAGTGTTCTTTAAGGGTAAAGGGTTTATTAAGGGCAAATATATTTCGACTTTTTTTTTATCAATATACATTTATAATAGCTTATATAACTTTTTTGATAAAATTTAGTTTATATTAATCAATTTTAAACATTAGGATTTGTTTAGAGAAAACCCTAATAAGAGATTGGTTAGCCCTTAGTCAACTTAAATTTTACGGAATTCTAAAACGGAATGTTTTAGAAAACTGACACATGTGTGTCATGTGTCAGTTGGCAGGTGGAGAGCTGAAGTGAGTTTTTTTTTTCTCAGGACAAACTAAATGATCTTGCACAGTAGATCGTTTAGTTTGTCCTGAGTTGTCTTTCTTCCCATTTTCTGATGTAATTGCAGTGTGTAGCATTGTACAACTTGCATTATTAATCACAACTGGATTAACAGTATTCTGTATATTGCAAACA